CCGCGCTCTCACGCGCTCTGTCGCCACCAGTTTAGGCACCGGGTCGAAGCGCAGTCCCTCACGCAACAGGTGGATCACTTTGGCCCCCAGCTCTTCCTCCTCCGTCTGAGGCAGCCCGACAATAACAAGGGAGACATCCGGGTCAAAGGGCTTGCCACGCACTTTCATTTTGCTCATTTTTGTTTCAATCATTTCCATTCTGGAGCTCACAATGCTGACTTCCAGATCCAGGTTTTGACGCATTTCTTGAGCCACTTTCTCCAACTCGCTTTTAAATGCAGCTTGCCCGTCAGATATCAGTTTCTCCAGACAGCCACGGAGATCATTTATTTTCGCATCCATCTGCTCTTGCATTTTGGTTGGCATATTGTCCATTGTTGATTGCATTTGGTCCATTTTGGAACCAAGCGTGCGCAGTTCATTGATCAAAGCGGCCTGATCAAACTCTGCGTCCTTCTTGTTGCGATTCCGCGTATTATCGGCCATAATGTTAAGCAAGGTTCAAATTGCACCAGGGCACAATTTTACGTGAAACACAGTTCAGAGTTTAACGCAGGTTGGTCGTTCAAATCACCAGTTAATTTGCAATTTTGTGCAGTAGGGTAACAGAGAGAGTCACACATGCGGCCACCTTCCCAGCATGCACCATACTATCCTCTATAACTATACTATGTGATAGTTAGATCTAGCATTTCTTGTTTGTGTGGTGCAGATATTACGCAGGTGTCTATATTCATCCCAGTCAGCAGTGAGCTTAGAATCCTTGAATTTTGACCAAGCCTTGTCCCGTTGTCTGTACAGACTCATCAGTTCACCCTACTAGTTAATATGGGTTTAGATTAAATAGATTGACTGTACTTGCTCTAAGTGACTCAGCAGAGGAAAATACAAATCGATCAATACCTATATGTTAAGCAAATTTGAAAACTGCTGAGTCTTATCAAAATGGTATCGAAAACATTTTCATGGATCTTAAAGTGTTTTGATACCACGGAACATCATATTTTTTACAAACAAAATGAAAACTATCGTATGTGCCAATATGTACCACCTCCAATCACTCATGCACACATTAGAGTCAAACTAACGATGGGGGTGACTTTACCATACTAGCTACAGTGCCTTGCGAAAGTATTCGGCCCCCTTGAACCTTTCAACATTTCGCCACATTTCAGGCTTCAAACATAAAGATATAAAATTTTAATTTTTTGTCATGAATCAACAACAAGTGGGACACAATCGTGAAGTGGAATGAAATGTATTGGATAATTTAAACTTTTTCAACAAATAAAAAACTGAAAAGTGGGGCGTGCAATATTATTTGGCCCCTTTACTTTCAGTGCAGCAAACTCAGTCCAGAAGTTCAGTGAGGATCTTTGAATGATCCAATGTTGTCCTAAATGACTGATGATGATAAATAGAATGCACCTGTGTGTAATCAAGTCTCCGTATAAATGCACCTGCTCTTTGATAGTCTCAGGGTTCTGTTTAAAGCGCAGAGAGAACCATGAAGACAAAGGAACACACCAGGCAGGTCCGAGATACTGTTGTGGAGAAGTTTAAAGCCGGATTTGGATACAAAAAGATTTCCCAAGCTTTAAACATCTCAAGGAGCACTGTGCAAGCAATTATATTGAAATGGAAGGAGTATCAGACCACTGCAAATCTACCAAGACCCGGCCGTCCCTCCAAACTTTCATCTCAAACAAGGAGAAGACTGATCAGAGATGCAGCCAAGAGGCCCATGATCACTCTGGATGATCTGCAGATAACTACAGCTGAGGTGGGAGAGTCTGTCCATAGGACAACAATCAATCGTGCACTGCACAAATCTGGCCTTTATGGAAGAGTGGCCATTTCTCAAAGATATCCATAAAAAGTCTTGTTTAAAGTTTGCCAGAAGCCACCTGGGAGACACACCAAACATGTGGAAGAAGGTGCTCTGGTCAGATGAAACCAAAATCGAACTTTTTGGCCACAATGCAAAAAGATATGTTTGGCGTAAAAGCAACACAGCTCATCACCCTGAACACACCATCCCCACTGTCAAACATGGTGGTGGCAGCATCATGGTTTGGGCCTGCTTTTCTTCAGCAGGGACAGGGAAGATGGCTAAAATTGATGGGAAGATGGATGGAGCCAAATACAGGACCATTCTGGAAGAAAACCTGTTGGAGTCAGCAAAAGACCTGAGACTGGGACGGAGATTTATCTTCCAACAGGACAATGATCCAAAACATAAAGCCAAATCTACAATGGAATGGTTCACAAATAGTCGTATCCAGGTGTTAGAATGGCCAAGTCAAAGTCCAGACCTGAATCTGGACTTTGACTTGGCCATTCACACACTATCACCTCCACAGCACGTATAACAATGCAACAGCCAGAGAAGCTTTTTGAGCTAACTCACTTTGCACCTGTGGATACTGAAACTGTCAAAAAGATAATCATGAGTCTGAGCTCCTCCACATGTAGCCTGGATATATTACCCTCTAAATTTCTGAAGTCCGTCCTGAGCAGTTTGTTACCTTCACTGACACAAATAGTAAACATGTCTCTGTCGTCAGGAACATTTCCTATGGCCCTAAAAACAGCAGTCATAAGACCTCTCCTAAAAAAGAGCAGTCTGGATCCTGCGGGACTTCAAAATTATCGCCCCATATCGAATCTGCCATTCATTGGAAAAATTCTTGAAAAAGTGGCCTCCCAACAACTTACTGAATTTTTAACAATGAATAATTCTTTTGATATGTTCCAGTCTGGGTTTAGACCCCACCACAGCACTGAGACCGCTCTAGTGAAGGTAACAAACGACATTCGACTTCACACTGATGCAGGTAAAGTCACAGTTTTGGTCATGTTAGATCTTAGTGCCGCGTTCGACACTGTCGACCATGAGATCCTCATGCAGAGACTGGAGGACTGGGTTGGTGTCACTGGCACAGCCCTAGACTGGTTTAGGTCTTACCTGGAGGATAGGAAGTACTTTGTGGAGATTGGAGACTGCGTCTCAGATCATGTGGCCCTGACCTGTGGAGTACCACAGGGGTCGATCCTGGGACCTCTCCTATTTAATCTCTACATGCTGCCGTTAGGTCAGTTAATACAAAGAAACAAAGTGTCCTACCACAATTACGCTGACGACACTCAGATCTATGTCTCACTGACTGCAGGAGAACATGGACCACTGGATTTGCTCCTTCACTGTATCCAACAGATCAGTGACTGGATGCAAAATAATTTCCTCCAGCTAAATGCAGACAAAACCGAAATCATTGTCTTTGGTCCCCAGAAACAAAGAGAGGGCGTCATTTGTCAACTTCAGTCTCTCTCCCTACTTCCTTCAGACAAGGTCAGAAATTTGGGGGTAATACTGGACTCAGACCTAAATTTCAATAGCCACATAAAATCAATAACATCAACAGCTTTTTACCATCTGAAGAACATTGCCAAAGTTAGAAATATAGTGTCCAGGGCAGACTTGGAGATTCTTGTCCATGCATTTGTCTCCAGCAGGCTAGACTACTGCAATGGCCTGCTTACAGGTCTGTCCAAACAGACCTGTAAGCAGCTGCAGTACATCCAAAATGCAGCAGCTAGAGTCCTGACAGGAACCAGGAAGTATGACCATATTAGTCCGGTCCTCAGGTCTCTGCACTGGCTTCCTGTGGCTCAGAGAATAGATTTTAAAACAGCTCTGCTTGTGTACAAGTCTCTCCATGGCCTTGCACCAAAATACATTAGTGACATGTTGGTGTCATATGAACCGGCTCGGACTCTGAGGAGCACAGGGACTGGCCTCCTGCTGGTGCCCAGAGTGAAAACCAAACATGGGGAGGCTGCGTTTCAGATCCATGCAGCTAAGATCTGGAACAATCTCCCTGAAAATGTGAGGGAGGCGTCTACTCTGTCAATGTTCAAATCCAGGTTAAAGACTGTTCTGTTTGCCTGTGCATACAACTGAAGGATTTTATCTCCATTTCTAATGCACTGTTGTCATTTATTTATTTATTTTTTTAAATTTCTTGTGTAATTTTGAAAGTTTTAATGGTTTTATTCTTTTGTGTGATTTTAATGTTTTAATTGTGTTTTAATCTTTTGTGTGATTTTAATGTTTTAATTGTGTTTTAATCTTTTGTGTGATTTTAATGTTTTAATTGTGATTCTGGTGTTTGTTTTATGTGATGATTTGTGATGTGGACTGTGAAGCGCTTTGTGTTGCCCTGTGTATGAAAGGCGCTCTACAAATAAACTTTGATTGATTGATTGAATCCAATTGAGAATCTGTGGAAAGAGCTGAAGACTGCTGTTCACAAACGCTCTCCATCCAACCTCACTGAGCTCGAGCTTTTTTGCAAGGGAGAATGGGCAAGAATTCCAGTCTCTCGATGTGCAAAACTGATAGAGACATACCGCAAGCAACTTGCAGCTGTAATTGCAGCAAAAGGTGGCGCTACAAAGTATATAGCAATAATAATTCGGCAAGGGGGCCGAATAATATTGCACGCCCCACTTTTCAGTTTTTTATTTGTTAAAAAAGTTTAAATTATCCAATAAATTTCGTTCCACTTCACGATTGTGTCCTACTTTTTGTTGATTCTTGACAAAAAATGTAATTTTTCATATCTTTATGTTTGAAGCCTGAAATGTGGCAAAATGTTGAAAGGTTCAACAATACTTTCGCAAGGCACTGTATGTGGTTCTTCCAGAGGTCTCCCATCACAGTGCTAACCAGACTGGCTTGCACATTCAAGTGTAGTTTTGGCCACAGAAACCGTGAAATTTAAACTATGAAAATGTGTGTTACTTTAGAAAATGTTAATTTACATGTTTTATTATCCCCCACAGCTGAGTAAGATCACATATTTTCAAGTATAAGCACTAAAGAAAAAAGACATGAAGTTATGGCCATTTTACCTTGTAGTGTATTGTGTTCCTTGTATACAAAGCAGAAATGTGAGAATACTATGAAATGGCTGAATGTTGCTCCTGTTTCTCAGACATCAATTCTCAGGTCACGATCACAGTCAAGACGTTTCTGCGTTACAACCAGCTCAATATCCTTCTGAGCAGCATCCGCAAGTTCTACCCCACAATGACGGTGGTGATCGCAGACGATAGCCTGGAGCCGGAGAAGATCCAAGGAGACCACATTCAGCATTACATCATGCCCCCGTCTCAGGTGACCCTCAGGGAGATGAACTAGTTCTATGCTTCTAACTTCTCAAATAGAAATATTACGCAAAATTACTTTTAACCATGTCACAGCAATGTTCAAAAACGGCTAAAATCAGTACTTTTCGGCATAAACCTCCTGTCAAAGTTAAATCCTGTGATAGTATGATGTCATTGTATCATTATGACATCACTCTCACAGCAGTATTCTGCATTTTAAAACAAAAGTATTGCCCATGAATTAGTTTTTAGTAATTACATTCTTTACAATCACATGCGTTTTTGTTGTAAAATTTGAAACCCACACCTCCCCCTGGTGGTAGCATGGGGATAGTGCAACCCTCCCTCTGGGGTCCTCTACTGAGGGCCGTCCGGTCCCTGTATGACCGGAGCCAGACCTGTGTTCGCATTGCCGGCAGTAAGTCAGACCTGTTCCCGGTGCATGTTGGCCTCTGCCAAGGCTGCCCTTTAGTCACCAGTTCTGTTCACTGTCTTTACGGACATAATTACTTGGCGCAGCCAGGGGCCGGAGGATGATGTTGTCCTGTTGGCTCCAACGAACCAGGACCTGCAACATGCACTGGGACGGTTTGCAACAGAGTGTGAAGCGGCTGGGATGAGAATCAGAAAAAAGGTGCCTTTTCCTCTACAGGTGGGTGGAGAGGTCCTTCCTCAAGTGGAGGAGTTCAAGTATCTCGGGGTCTTGTTCATGAGTGAGGGACGGATGGAGTGTGAGATTGACAGGCGGATCGGTGCAGCGTGCGCAGTGATGCGGTCGCTGTATCGGACCGTTGTGGTGAAGAGGGAGCTGAGCTGAAAGACAAAGCTCTCAATTTACCGGTCAATCTTCGTTCCCTCCCTCACCTATGGTCATGAGCTTTGGGTAATGACCGAAAGAACGAGATTGCGGATACAAGCGGTTGAAATGAGCTTCCTCCGCAGAGTGGCTGGGCGCTCCCTTAGAGATAGGGTGAGGAGCTCAGTCACATGGGAGGAGCTCTGAGTAGAGCCGCTGCTTCTCCACGTTGAGAGGAACCAGTTGAGGTGGCTCGGGCATCTGTTCCGGATGCCTCCTGGACGCCTCCCTGGGGAGACCCAGGACACGCTGGTGGGACTATGTCTCTCAGTTGGCCTTGGAACGCCTTGGAGTCCCCCCGGACGAGCTGGAGGAAGTGTGTGTGGATAGGGAAGTCTGGGCGTCTCTGCTTAGGCTGTTGCCCCTGCGACCCGGCAACAGATGAAGCGGAAGAAAATGGATGGATGGATGGATGGATGGATGGAGGTTATGAAACTCAAATGTGTTGAACGGATTTAGACAAATGCATGATTAGAAAGACGGAGGCGTTAAGACATGTTTGTTCGCACATGTGTATGGACACAGTTTGTATCTGAGTTGATGAGAGATGAGAATGTTTACAGAATTCTTTCTGGTCTCCTTTGTTTACAATAATAGTGTTCATTTTAGAACCTCAAATTCACTTCATGTGTGTGTGAGGCTTCAGCTTAAATGGTTACAATGGCTTTGTGCTTGATTGGTGCAGTCTGTTTCATAGTGCACACTTTCATTTACAAGTCTAAGGCCATTCAGAGGCTTGAGGCACTCAGGCCTAATAATAAGAGTGAATAAAAGAATACAAAGGACTACTGTATATAACTCATCCTGTGTGAATAAAACACCTTGAATTGAGGGAAATTATTTGCCCTGGCATGATTTCTCAAGACTTTTGGTATGATTTTCTGGAGACCTTTGTTTTTTGGGCCCAGAATCCGCTCTGGCTGTTCGCTCCCTCATTTCTCCTTGCTCAGGGCCCTCACTAAGGTTCAGTGTCTTGCAGGGCTGGTTCGCTGGTAGAAACTTGGCTATTTCTCAAGTTACCACCAAATACTTCTTGTGGGTGGATGACGACTTTCTGTTTACGGAGGAAACACAAATTGAGAAGATGCTGGAGATCATGGAGGCCGTTCCTCGACTCGATGTGGTGAGATTAGCAGCTTTAACAGTTTGTTAGATAAAATACTGTAAGACCAACTTTATTGATGTCACAATGGAGTGCAGAATCAGTTACACAGAGGGTTAATCCATCAAAGTTCCACATTTCCAACAGGAATGTTTTGTTTTGTTGATGTTTGACTCCATCAACATCAACAAAACATCAAAACTGACCTGAGAAACGAAACCAGAAGTTCAACAAAAAATATGAATAAATCGTTGCTTAATTTCTGAACATTGTTTTCTGGTAATTCTCTTGAATTGAATGGATGAACCCAGTGCAAATATTCTAATGAATTGAGGTAATCCTTAATAGTAGCAAATCCTCATAAAAGTCATGACATTTTTATCCCCTTTATGATTCCATTTCTGGGTTGGGGGTGTGGCCATCAGAGCAGCACCAGTCCCTCGCTGACCCTCCTGCAGGTGGTGGGTCCACAGGATGATGGCCTTTCCGTCATCCAAGACATGGCCTTGGTCTTTCAGCGGGGAAGTCAATGGGAGCTGAAGACATGAGTTGTGGGGGAGTCAAACCCACAACCATTAGGATCAGAGACCAATGCTCTACCAACTGAGCCTCATAAAAGTGTAATATGTATTAATAGTTTTAGGGGGTGAAAGATATAAATGTGTCATAATAAAAATTCAGAAGTAGCCTATTATATCTTTTGTTCCTCAGGTGGGTGGTTCAGTGGGATCGAACCGCTTCCCATTTACTCTGCACTTCGAGGCGGGGGACGAGGATGAAGGTGGCTGTCTGGATGCACGTCTCAACACAAAGCAGCAGACACTCCCAGGTTTCCCACAATGCTCTCTGGTCAACGGAGTGGTCAACTTCTTCCTGGCTCGCACGGACTCAGCCCAGAGAGCGAGATTCGACCCGATTCTGAAGCGTGTGGCCCATCCAGGTATCGAGCATGTCCCACCTCTGCTCAAAAGTCCATATTGTATTCTACACTGTTTCTGCTTGGGTCTAATTGTTTTCATCATTGCGTCCTTACGTAACATACAAGATATATACTTTTATATATTTCTACGTCTATGTGTAAAAGAGACTCTCTGAACTTACAAACAAGAGAAACACACACAGAAGATAATAAATAAATATAAAAATCAATAAATAATATTTACTAATACATATTTATTTGTATAGCACTGTGTATAAAGTCCTGCTATCAATTGTGAATACAAATACATACATATCGTCATAAAATAAAAAAATTTAAAGTCCAAATACAGGAAAATAAAGTAGACACGACATGAAAGACAACATAAAGCCAACGTGGAAGAGTAAAATGCGGCATGTGAAGAAGAAGATTTACGGGCTGTAAAACTAATTTTGAAATGTGCACATCCCGTGTTAGGGAACTATTGAAAAGACCATGACTTATCAGTGCCTTGTGACACATTAGGACCGTTTATTTGATGACTTGAAATGCAATTCTTACATTAAAGCTACTTTAAGATCACAAGAAATATTAATCATCCAAATAATTTAAATAAAGGCTATGAGCACTTTCTCCTGTTGGGCTTGTGAGTGGTGAGTGGTTAAGGAGCTGGTCCTTTGCTGACGCGGCTCCTGTCTGTGTGCAGAGTTCTTCATGGACGGCCTGGGCTCTCTGATGGTGGCCTCGTGTGGCGGCCCCAGGATCGCACATCAGTCACCTTCTGAGACCGACCGGCGCTACGCACACTTCAGGCACCCAAACTACACCGAGGACATGATGTTAAAATACAAACTGTACTACTACAAGCACAACCTCAAGTGCATCAGGAGGTGGAGGTGATCATTTGTTCTTCAAAGTCTATAATTTTCCATAGCAGATTGAATATACATTGAATATATCTATAGAGGAAATTAAATCATGTAAATCTATCAGGTCAGGTATAATAAAGAATAAGCTGTGCATGTTATTATGTGAAATAAACTGTCTCCCTCTGCTGGCCACACATTGTAAACATAACACACATTGTAAAGACCAGAGTAAAGACTGGGATTGTAGCAGGGGTGGAAATCTGGGGGCACCTCATTATTTCATCACGATTCAGAGGCTGTGATTCGATAATAAAACTTTTTTTTTTTAAATAAAAATTCATAACTTCATGAATTAATAAATTCATTTCCATTACATTTGAGTACCTTTATGAAAATACCCACTGGAATGGAAATGCATGAACATTTGAACTTCAGTGTATCACTCAAAGTGCTTCTTGCTGCTTTTATTGTTTCATAATATGGTAGTTAGAAATACTGTCAGAAGGGTCTGAAGCAGGGGTGTCAAACTCAAATAGAGTGGGCCAAAATTTATAACCGAACAAAGCCGCGGGCCAAGGTTGAACAAATTAACCTCTTATTAGGGACCCAAACAAGTTGACAAAATTGAATGCCTCTTTTCAATTTGCAGCCTTCTGAGGTAAATATATAACAACAACTTTTTCCACAGGCCAATGATACATTTGAAAAAAATAATTAAATCAATCATTCAGAACTTTTTACTGCTCAGTTTGCGACACACTGATCTAATCTGATGTGTCCAAGCCCGTCATTAATGTCACCAAATAAACTTTTTTAAACTCATAAACTGCATAAATATGTTTCTTATAGTGCTCTCTACATGTCCTGGTCATTTTTTGACATCTTAGTGCAAATTAGATAAAATCTCACTTTTGAGCCTAAAACCGTCTGTGTGGCGCCCTCTCTACTTTTTCGGTGGGACTACATTAGAATTTTGGTCCTGGCCTCTCCATTGGCTCTGGAGTGCTGTGTGATGTCAGTCTGTACTGTGTGATGTGCGTTGCTCTGTGCCTGTGGTATAAAACCATCTAAGTCTCACACACGCCCCAGGAGCGAGTTGGAGTATTCTGGCTAGATCTAGTGGATAAATAATAAATAACATCAGTTGACAGCCACTGCTGCTGAGATAATTCTGTGGCTTAGGTTCAGGTGTGTAGCTCTACAATTATCTTTGTGTGAAAACAAGGGGGAGTGAGACTTTCTAGTGTGTAAAACTATTGCTTAAAGCAGCAATGACAACTGTCTGACAGCTCGCTTGTCACAAAAAAAAAACAATCACAGTCCAGACCACACCCGACTTTAAGCCTCCGTTCTTGTCCCTTGGTCCTCCAGGCAACGCCCTTTTTAGAGAACGTTTTCAAATGTTCATGTGGGCGGAGTAAGGCTGCACAGGTTTTTCGTCGCTCTTTAAGTTTCTGTTTCTCTTGTTTGCACTCTGCTACTGTAGCTAACAGCTCGGGCATGTATCGCGTTGTTTTGGGAAAGACACATCTCACACTTGTTCACATTGCTCTGATGCAAAGTGCAGCAGTTCAGTGGGTAACATTTGTGTCCGTGCACCGCGGAAACGGGATTGCGCATTTTTAGTAACAAGTGTAAGCATGAGATATTTATGAATGGGAATGAAAGAACAAAAAGTGTGGCGTACGAGCAGAGCGACCGGAGCCAGGCAGGATATAAGGTATGGTAAGGTGCACTTTATTTATCCCCGTGGGGCAAGTCATCCTCTGCATTTGACCCAGAGGATGCTAGTGATGCCACTAAGGCTTGCGTCAGGAGCAGTGGTAGGGGAAACCGGAACACCCGGAGGAAACTTACACAGGCACGGGGAGAATATGCAAACTCCTCTCAGAAAAAAGAACCCAGGACTTTCTTGCTGAGAAGCGAGAGTGCAATCCACTCAGCCACCGCGCCACACATACTGTATAAGTAAATGTTGGTTTGTTCGGGCGATTAAGTCTGATAAGTCTGATTCTTGAACGTCTGAAGTGTTAATTGCACCAGTACCACACTGTGACAGCGAGGGTCAGGACAGAACGGATTTCTCCCCGTAGTAAACGCTTCGCTTTGCCCCTGCGCTCCTCAACCGGGGGCTCACATGAAAGGTGTAACACAGGTAAGTAAGTCAGGCCCACTTGCAGCAACCCTGCCCAAGCTGCGGTCACATTGCACCTAAAGCCCGAAGTTGGGCCAGGACCACTTTAACCGGGCTTTAGACTGTGTGTTGGAGCCATTTTGCCTTGTTTTCTTTTGCTGCCTCCTGCCACTGTGTGGCGCCACCTCTCAATGGTATGCCCCTATAAAAGTGGGGCACTAATTATGTACAGTTGTTGTAGTGTGGAGGCAAACATCTTCTTACCGTCGTCTGTCGCCGCAGTTAGTGTTAAATCAGTGTATTTGGATCACAATAAACGCTTGTGGAACACAGTTTTTGCTGTATTTCATGGTTAGAGACACGCGTCCGATACACCATCACACACCGCATCCAGCGGACGTTGCACAGGCAACACTGTGCATGTGACCACAGCCTAAGAATCAATCCATCCATCCATCCATATTCTTCCCCTTAATCCATTTCTGGGTCAGGAGGGTGGCAGTCAGAGGCCGCACCCAATTCACAGAGCACCAGTACCTCACTGATCCTCCTGCAGGCGGTGAGTCCACAGGAGGCTAAGAATCTGAAATTTTGAAATGAAATGTTTTAATGACTTTTATGGGCTGTTTCATCATGTGTTTTATGTGGTATAAACAACATATTAATTTGCTCAGTTCAATATTGAATAAAATCTCACTTTTTTATGTCGCTGGCGGGCAGCACTCACGACTTATGTCACTGAGCGCTGCATACTGTGACACTGTCGTGTGGGAGACATCTGTCAGCTCTGGACCCTCCTGTTCTACACCTAAGCGCCCGGTTCCGAATGAGGAACCCACAAACTGCGAGGAGCCATCCAGCGCTCCATTCTGTCAAACCGCTATGAAGCCCTCTCCACTGACATCCCAGCCCCCTCAGCAGAACCCCTGGACTCTGCAGTGTACTCTGCCATTTGTGGATCCAAGTCCACTGCGAGAAAAACGCTCTTAAAGGAAGCCGTCCTCAGACGAAAGAGTGGTCATTCCCCTTCTCTGACCCCAGTGCATCACCACCGCTTACCTCCACCGGGTCAGCAGCAGCGACCCGAGCCTGCTCCTCCCGCCGCTCCAGCGTCCTCGAGCACACAGCGTGGGTTGCCCGGAGCTGAGAAACAACACCCCCGCTCCCCTCCATGTGTTCAGCAGCGCCCTGGTTCGGACTCATGTGGTGCAAACACTGACCCCTGTCCGTCTGGTAGTGTAATACCAGTCCTGCCACTGAACTGTACTGACTCAGTTATGCATCTGGAACTTAACAAAGTAAAACAGAGTTCACTTTTTAAACCAATTGAGACTGTGTGTGTTCCTCGCACCAGCTCAGAAATGTGTTTTAATTTTAATAAACACAAATATAACAGAAGGACAGCAGTTAGACGGTCCAACTCAGGAAATCCAATTCTTTGTAAT